TTTGTGTTTTCCAATGGTCAACCCATAGGTCGAGAACTGCTGCTTTAAATCAATATCCAGGTCTACAGTGATAATTCTTGCCAAGTATTAAACATGCGCAATCTATTTTTAAATTGTATTTCGTTATAAAAGCATTACTTTTAAAGTAGGGATAGGTGTTAAGTTGATTAAAAATTGTACGATGGCATTAGGCTTAATATTTTTATTGGCATCATTATAAATGTACACGATTCCATGAATGTTGGGGCATATTAATGAAAACTTTTTAAAAAATGAGAAATATTGTTTAATTGATGGGCGCATACAAATAGTGCACATTTCATCATTTGTTATGTTGAAAGCGTTTGTGTTTTATTTAAATGTGCTACTTTTGTAACAAACTTTCCTAAATAACAGAGGTTAAAAAAAAATAATTAACCTATTTTCATTAAATTACCAACTTCTTTTGCCTGTTTTTAATATCAGAAGGAAAAAAACTGCCCCATCTATTTGCACAGACTTTTAAAGTGTAATTATTTTTCTCTAGATGAGAATCAGACAGTTTAAAAAAGAAGGTTTTGTGAACCAGCATTTCGATTATCATGCAAATTCCATTTTTGTTGGTACTTGTTTTACGAAAAATACGTATTCCTAATTTGTCAATTCAAAATAAATTCTGTTGATTTGGGAATAAACTGTTTAAAAGTATAACAAGTGGCAATTTTTAATTTATCTGAAGAAAGTTAAAGTACTTTGAAATTCAAAATAAAAATTCATTCAACTAAATATTGAGAAATTATACTTTATTTTGTAAACATCTCATGTCTTCTTTACATAATAGTGGCATTCATATACGATTTATAAGAATGACCAGTTTTGATAACCCATTAAAAAAATGTATATACCTTTCTACTTAACAGTTCATTTTTCTCTTTTTGACTCGTGTAAAACTTGGAAATATTTAGCAAACTTTATTATATATGCGAGTTGATTATTATTTTTTTTTTTTTTTTTTTTTTTTGCGTTGGAAGTGTGAAATGATGTTAGCAGTGCTTTTGGAACCATTTTTTTTTTTTGAAAATTTATTTTTTTATTTTGTTTTTTAGCCCACAAAAGTTTTAAAATATTTTTTTATTTTTGTGTGTTGTTTATTATTTTTTTTTTTTTTTTTTCATTTGCGTTGGAAGTGTGAAATGATGTTAGCAGTGCTTTTGGAACCATTTTTTTCTTCTGAAAATTCATTTATTAACTATGTATTTAAGCCCAAAAAAGTTTTAAAATAAAAAAATGAAAGCCACATTACTATTTAGTATTATAAAAACTATTTTCATTACAAAAGCAGGTCAAGCAGAGCCGTCGATCGACTTTTAGAGGCCCCTTTTTGGTTTTGCCCCCCCCCCGCCCTTTTTGCATTAAAAGATGATAACTAAGAAAATATACACATCAAATCTTTAAGCTCCTATGTTACGCACTGACTTGTATTGGGAGAAAATAATCTCCTATTTTAAATTTATGGCTCGTTCAAACAATGCCTAACAAAAGGACGATACCATATAGAAATACAAGAACACAAGTACGACACCCAAAACAGTACCAATTACAATTAATAAGATTTAATTCAGTAATAATACAATTATAAACAAAAGAAATATAATTGCAAATCATCAACTTACAGAGTATGGTAGAACTGGTACCGGTACACAATTAGTACAATGTGCCAATGAAGGAAGAATGCGAATAAACACATATAAGCATGGGCGCCACAGAAAACTTTCTAGGGGGAGGGGCAAAAAAATCAATTAACTTTCCAGTGGTGGGGGCAAAATATCGATTAACTTTCCAGGGGGGGGGGGCAAAAAAAATCGATTAACTTTCCAGGGGGGGGGGCAAATTTTTTTTGGTAATGTTTTAATATAGTTTTAATTTCCAGTGGTGGGGGCAAAATATCGATTAACTTTCCAGGGGGGGGGGGCAAAAAAAATCGATTAACTTTCCAGGGGGGGGGGCAAATTTTTTTTAGTAATGTTTTAATATAGTTTTAATTTACTGTAGTGTATTTGTATGGTGAACGAACGGACAGGACATCAGCTTAGTTACTATCTCTTTATTTTCTCTTTACTTTAATAATTTTTTTGTCTATTTTTGTCTAAAAAAATTGTATCCAATCAATCCAGGGGGGGGGGGCAAGTGCCCCCTTGCCCCTACCTGCGGGCGCCCATGCATATAAGCTAACAAAGAATAATACACGTCTCGTAAAGTAAAAATATCTATCAATCTCTCTGAATCTCTGACCCTCTTTGCCTGTCAATCCTTTATATATGTGGGTCTACCGACGCGCCTAGAAACGCCTTTACTTTTCCATAACAAATCGAGAACCTTCGATAAGACACTAGTAGGCATAGTAACCAATGTGTAATTGGCCGTCAGTTGTAAACAAGATACATCAAATAGAATTTAAACCACGCCCACAACAAACGCTACCGTCTGCTAGGGAGGGATCTAACTTAGGTCAAAGCAAAGTTCAAGCACGGGGATTGTGTGCTACATAACACCCTAATATACACAAGGACTCACTGCAGTCATAGGGGTTGCTGGGCTCACATGATGTTTCTAAGGTTAAGTGACACCAACATTTTTTTTTTTAAACTAGCATCACTTACATTGCTATCTAAGTGTAGAATGTTGCAAGACTAAATTAAAGTATTTGATAAATTGCATTATTGTCTTTTGAATTTATCAAAAATTTCTTGGAGACTAGGCAATATTAAGCTAGGGAAATATATATACCCTCAAGGGCGCCACAACTGGAATGAGTTGTTCTTCATGTCCTGCTGGTGCGGCTTTAAATATGTCTTTAATTTGATCATTATTATAATATACCAGTACATCAACTCTATGTATACTATAAAATGGCCTATGACAGCATCAAAAGAAACTATTCTTCTTCTTCTTCTATATCTTAAGGGCCCACGATCAATTTATTGATCATTTTGGCTCCTATTTATATGAGACTATGCAGGAGTTTGGGATACCCAACAAACTGACAAGGCTAATACATGTCAGACTAAACAACTCAAAAAGCAAAATCAAGATTCAAAGAGAATATTCAAGGGGATTTCATATTAGACGAGGCCTAAGACAGGGAGACTGACTGTCTTGTATGCTCTTTAGTCTTTAACCTAACATTAGAGAGAGTTATTAGAAACATACACATTGACACTCGAGGAACGATAACAGGATACTTTCTGAGGGAAACTCAAGACCCACAACCAACGGGCACACTTTACAACAAACCACTTCAGTATCTTACATATGCTGATGACATAGCACTTCTAGGGAAAAGTATTAAAGACATATCAAAATCATTTATTGAATTAGAAGACGCATCTCTACAAGCAGGGCTGGAAGTTAACGACCAAAAAAAACAAATTGATGACCATGATAAGAGAGGAACAAACAGATGAAAAAAATAAAATTAGAAACCAAACTTTTGAAAAAGTAAATCTATTCAAATACCCAGGATTCTTGTTAAATGAAAGAAATGAATTAATAATAAAAATAAAAGAAAGAATATCAGCCGGAAACAGGGCATACTTCAGTAGTCAGAAAATACTCAAAAGTAAAAACATTACAAGAGAAACAAAGAAAACTATGTATAAAACTGTGATCAGACCAGTTGTAACATATGCAAGTGAAACTTGGACGCTAAACAAAAAAAAAAACAGCAGAAAACCTATTAAAGACATGGGAGAGGAAAGTTCTCAGGAAAATATATGGGCCAACAAAGGATGAATATGGATGGAGAATACGAACCAACCAGGAGTTATACAGTCTATATCAGGATCCCACGATAGTGGCAGAAATAAAAAGAGGCAGGCTACGCTGGGCAGGACACCTAGAGAGAATGCCAAATGACAGAGGAACGAAGAGGGTGCATCACCAATACCCCAGAGGAAAAAGGCTCAACGCCAGACCTAGGCTTAGGTGGATAGATGATGTAGAAAAATATCTACAGCGGCTGAAAGTCCAAGCATGAAAAAGAAAGGCATTAGTTAGGTCTGAATGGAAGGAAGTGGTGAGGCAGGCCAAAGCCCTACATGGGCTGTAGAGCCACAGGGATGGATGGATGGTACTTTCTGCGTAATGCTCGCTGCTGATCTCCAAGTTTCGGCTCCATATAATAGGACTGTTTTGACATTTGTGTGGAAAATGATGAATTTGGTTTGAAGAGTCAGCTCCTTTAAACTCCCATATTTTATTTAATTGCACAAATGCTGACCTAGCCTTTCCACTTCTAGCCCTAGCACTTCGGATCCACCATTTAAGTCAATGGTGCGGCCTAAGTATGTGAGGCCTCCATTTCTTCCAGTGCATTTCCTACAAGGGAGATATGCTCTTGGTTGGCTGAGTTTACTTTTATGATCTTTGTCTTTTTACTTAAATAAAAGCAAGATTCATTGGCACCCTCAATTTCTACCCTACACCTAGTGCCGTCTTAAGGCATGGGCCCACTGGACACTTCTCTCCAAACCTTTATATTGAGGGTGAGGGTGGCATTTCATGGAAAAAGGGGGGGGGGCAGCAAAAGTCTTTGCCCGCCCTGGTTGACATCAAACACTGAATGTAAGTAGGCCCTAACAGCCTAACAAATTTCCATGTGTTTAGATTAATTAATAAAGTCTTAAGCATTAAGTATCAGTCTTGGGGATTAGGGGGTGGTATCTCTAATTTAAATCAATTAGTGTTATTTAATTTTTTAAAATGTTTTCTCGAATTCTATCCAGTATGAAATTTAATTTTTTTTAAATTATGATCTTAGTTACTTTGCGTAATGCATTTGAAGAAAGTTATTATCTACTTTTTAGTGCATTTAAACTCGTCTTGGATAGAAAGTATTTTTTAAAAATCATATAATTATAATATTTTTATTAATCTAAATCGAGACAGGGGAGATTGGTGTCTAAATAATTACTTTTTTGGGGAAAGACAAAAATTGTTTAAATAGTCATTGCCGGATTGTACTGTCGCTTTCTCGAAAGCCCACACGGTTTCACTGTAGCATGGAATTTATAAACAAAAACACATTTATGTTATATTTTTTTGTATTGTTAGTACATGCTTAAACATTATAACAATATTTTCGTTAATAATTCAACGATTCACATCTTATATTGTCAAATACCGTAACGACTCTCAGTAAACTGGCCAGACAGCGCCATTGTCGATATCAATTAGATAGCATTGGATTAGTAGTAACGTTAAATACACGACATCACACAAGATTATGTCTGTCTCTGTAGCGCCTACGCCTGACAAGGGAAGGCGACGGAGACTTCTTGATGATGAAGGTGAAGATGAAGATGTTGAAGCATCACCAGTAGTCACCAGACCTTCAGAATGTGTAAGGCTTTATAATGACTTAGGCCAACTCGAGATTAAGTTCCATTATTAAGAAAGTTCTCCCTTTTTCGGTTGCTTTAATCATGAATTGAACTTGATTATTGGAAGTTGTTAAAAATGTTAACCCCCCTGCCCCTTCGTTACCTTCAGTTTGAGTTATTGATGATTGGAACTAAACCTATTTTTATACTCCCTTCATTCCAGTGCAAAATTATAGGCTTATCGGACTATCCACATTCATTGAATTGAATTCTAATCATCATCAAACTCAGTTACCAGTACTGACAGTCATGGGCACTNGTGGGTCACGGTGGGTGGGTCACGGTGGGTGGGTCACGGTGGGTGGGTCACGGTGGGTGGTGATAGAGATGTGACATAAAATGCACACAGTCAACGCACTTTATAAGCATTCCAGTTAGTGCTCTCCCACCCCCCCCCCATTTCCCAACCTTAAATTACACATTTTTTTCCCCCCCCCCAAAAAATTTTTTTTTTCCCCCCCCCCCCCCCCCGAAAGTTTTCTGCGGGAGCCCATGCTGACAGTTCAGTACTGGTACTCACAGTGACAATGATTAGTTAAGAGGTTAATTTAGTTAAATCATAAATAAAAAATTACAGTGATCATGTTTCGGATTTTAGGCCTGCACTTACTTAAAATTCTTATGAACGAACTTAGTGAGGCGAGTTGAACCCTAGCCCAAGGAATAATTTGGGTTCCTGATAGGCGATGGCTCAATTTCATTTCCTGTGCCAGTATTTCCAGCCTTGCCCTTTTCAAAATATCAAACAAATTGTAGTGCGCACTATGTAAAAAAAAAAACAACAACCCACAACTGAGACTGTTGCAAGGCAACGCAGTGATAACTGGTCATCAGCTGGTCTTGGCGCATATGATTATAATATCTGAGGGATTAAAATAAGGTGCTGCTCTCAATTTGATACTCTGCCACTCTACCCTACTTTTATTTATTGGCAGATAATAAGGTTATGTTTGCATTGTTTATAAAACAACATATGGTCAAAATCTATGTCGAGACTATGTATCAACGCAATTAAATATTATGCGCGTTGAACATTCATTGGTTGATATTTTTGTACTAAATAAAATAATGAAATATCATTGAGTTAGAACTATTCACTCGACCTCTGCACCTTTAACTTTAAGAGTATATTATGTACATGATCCCATGACTATGTAATGAAGAAATAGTAACAGCACAAAATGAAAACATTAAAATTGGGACTCAATATTTGGAGTAACAGTGAAGTCCATAGTAATAAAGGGAAAACACTCACATTCTAAGAAATTCATTGCTCAAAAACTATGGCTACCAAAGACCAAAGCCAGCAGGCTTTAGACTAAACCTAGTAAATGTTATTTTCATTCTTTTAATTTAACGTTTGATTTATACAACTGTTAAATTTTTTTAATTCATTTTTTTAAAACTGAAACTACAACTGTTTAACTTTTTCCATTTAAATTTGTTTACTCTTTCATAGTGCAGGTACTCTAGCACTAAGGCCAGGGTATGGTACAGCTAGTGCTCAACTTACGACCACAATCGGTTCCGACAGACCAGTCGTAACACAATTTGGTCGTAAGTTGAGTACGCTATGAGTAATGTGAAGTGATGTTATAAAAATATTTAATTTAAATTATATCATAAATTTCTTTTATTATTGTTAATATTCTCTGTTCATGACCGCCGATGATTGCAGACAACACCGTTCGACTGATAATTGAGGCAGAAATAAATCTGAAATCTAGTACAGTATGGCTAGTGATTGTGGTCATAAAGTCGAATGGTCGTAAGTTGCATAGGTTGTAAGTCGAGCACTAGTTGTATATAGTATTTTGAATTTCCAGCCTTTTCCTGTCTGTGATTTTTTGCAAAAACATTTTAAAGTTAATGATAATGATCCACCTTTTGTCTTGAGGATCCCATGTCATATAAAATGTTTTAAAATATAGGTCTAAATCAAATATAGGTCTAAATAATTTATTATATTTATTTATGTTAGGAATTCTAAACATATTCATGGGTAAAAACATCTTTTACTGTGAGAACCATGGGAAGGACAATGTTTTTGTATATCTGAAATTATAATTTATGATATAGAGCTATATGGACAATGACCATTGTTAAAACTGGTTGTTAGCTGGGGAAACCTCCTCTACTTATTATTAATCTATCTAAACAAAGTAATTTCACCTGATCATGATCTAGAGGCCAAACTGCTGTTTTCAAGAGGTTTTAGAACATGTAACATCATTCTTCATGCTATAATACAATCCTCAAAGTTTTTTTTCATCCCTGTGTGTAATATAAAAAAGTATAGATCATGAACTCACTCGTGCTTAATATTTAATTTAAATCTCAATAAGGCTAAAAGGAAATTTGTTTCTACTGCATATCAATTAAGTGCAAATTGTGGTAGGTGTCATTAAACAAAATTAAATTAATGGAGTGGAGCCTTATATTGGATATTGTCCATGAAATTGGGGGCTTATGTTCAAGATATGATTTGGCACTAAACGTTATCAGATTGACATTCAAAGCAATATCTACCATATCTGATGTGACTATTTTGTTTGAAATTATTAAAAGTGTGGCTTGGCGTCCATAGTATGAAATAAGTGTCAAGATATCTGAACATTAAGGCAAGTCCAAGACAACTGTGTTATAGAATTCTAGTTACAATTTAGGCTTACCGATATTAACTAGGGATGGCTGTGTTTCAAAGGGATCCACTTTGTACAGTGAATGAGGCTATTTAAAGCTCAAATGTTTTTTATTTTAGAATTTTTTTGCCTCTGACAATGGAAGAGTTTAAATTGCACTACATTAATGTTCAAATTTTCTTGCAGGAATCTGAAGGAGAAACTCCGGATGTAGGTAATAAATTCATTATTTTAATAGTTTAAGTGAAATGAACAGATTTGAACAAAAATGTATATTTATCATATTGATTTGTGCCATATGAAATGTATGTGAGGATGAAATTTCTTAATTATTTTGGACCATTTAATGAATCTCTAAAAAACTTCAAAATCACTTTGCATGGAGCCTAAAGATAAGACTGAAATGTCTGTTCTGTTTAATTATTTGTAAATGACATATTTGTAAGTATTTAAATGCACTAATACGTTTTTGTTTGACATGAAAAAATTTACATGTCTTTTTTTTATGCAGAGTTATCTGAACATGAAAGTGCAGTTGATGAAAATGCGGATTTGTAAATGACATATTTGTAAGTATTTAAATGCACTAATACGTTTTTGTTTGACATGAAAAAATTTACATGTCTTTTTTTTATGCAGAGTTATCTGAACATGAAAGTGCAGTTGATGAAAATGCGGATCAAGAGGTAACAATTTTTTGTATATTCACTATTTTGGCAATTTTTCATTTGTATTTCTGGTAGTTGTAAATGTCCCCTCTTCCATTTCCAGCAGAGAAGAGGTTCTTGCTATTTGTTCATTATTAAATTTAAAAATCTCTTTAACCCTGTTAAATCTTATTTGTTGCTGGACATACAAAAAGTCTTGCAATATTCCATCGAGGGCCAATGAATTGTTGGTTTTCTTTTTAGCAATTATATTTTCTGTCCCGCTGAGTACATAGTTCTGCAATATTTATACCTTTTCTGCCTGCAAAGTCAAATACTTTAATATGAACATTTATTGTATTGCATACCAATCAACACTTCAAATGATGATGAATCTTTTTAACTCTGTTTTTTTTTAATCAGGATGAAACAGAAGAGGGAAGTGAAACCGAAACTGAAGAAGGTTCAGAAACAGAATCTGAGAGTGGCTCAGAGACAGAAACAGAAGGTGGTGAAGGGTACTCGGATGAGGAAGGACTAGAGGAGGAACGTCAAAGTGGGGATGGAGAGGTGAGCGAGCTTAATTATATTATTATATAGTCTCAAGGCTCTGCTGTTAAAGAGATATTTTAAACAATACTGTTTTCAGGATTCCAGAATAAACAGCAAGTAAAGTAAGAAATGCAATTTTGATGCTTAATCTTTATAATATTAGCCCAGTTTCTTGTGCTTCCAACTGCATTCAGTACCGTTACACATTTAAGTGCGTTGTCTGTGCTAAATTAATTTGGAAACATTGATGTACATTTTCAAGCAGAATTTTGGGTAATCACATTTTGCTGAAATTCATTCGACATGACTTCCCATGTAAGTGTTAAAATATTCTTAGATTGTTCATATGTTAACAAATCAAGATAACATTATCTTATTGCCAGGAGCAGCCAAACAGTGATAAGCCTGATGATGATGAAGATAAAAAGAATCCAGCATATGTGCCTCGTAAAGGTGCCTTTTATGAACATGATTTTCGACAGGGTGATGAAGGCCCAGAGGGTGTAGAGGAAAAGGATGATTCCAAGTATGTTTCTATTTAGCTAGCCTTTTGTTTGCAACATAAAAATGACTGCTTACTGCAAAATATATTATTTTTACTATTGTGCCAAGAGTAATCATTATTTTCATACTTACTGATCAGAAATAGTAGAATACTTTTACATAGCTTATGTAAATTAACATTAAAGAATTAAATCAAAGAATTGTTTAATAATGTATTAATGTGACACTTAAGACAACCAGTTATGAATGCAGTTCACTTTATTTTAAGTAATTATAGTACCAACCAAATTTATTTCTGAACCTGTCTATGGTACATAGTTATTTTTGGCTGTAAACAAATTGGTAAAATTTGTGAACAGGTTAAATTTAATTAAGTAAAAATCCATGTAAAAGTTGTTGTTGTCTAAGGAGCAATTTCAAAGTAAAAAAAAAAAAAATTAAAATAATATAAATAATATAAATTTTTCAATCAATAAAACACAATCCTATTGTTCCTTACAGACCTAAGAAAAAATTATGGCAGGATGAAGGTAAATGGTCACATGATAGATACAGTGATGACCTGCAGGCACCCAAGTCACGAGAGGAGCTCATTGCCATTTATGGGTATGACATTCGAGCTGCTGACAAGCCTCCTGAAGCTGCTCCTAAGAGACCTAGCAGGTAAGTTGTATTGAATAATTTAATGGGATGATTTGCAAATATTGCTTGTGGTTGAATGGAAATTCATATCTCAAGTTTTATGATTTAAAAAATGATATATTAAAATATGTCAGATCGGTTATTGGTGTAAGCTAAATTGAAAGGAGAAATTTATATAAAGGGTTTTTTTTTCAAATGATGAGATAACCTCTGGCACACACTTTAAAGAGATTATTAAATATGCCTTATCTTTACTGACAATAGTAGTTACCTTAGTACTTAGTATAGTACACATCTAAAAAAAAATTATTTTTTGCACTATCATTCAGAGAGAAAGGTCCAAGAAAGCACAGAATTCAAGACTTCATTCCTCAGATGGCTGTTATAGATACAACTGAGGATGGATCAGATTCAGTACCCAACTTAGGAGATGAAGAGTTGATTCTCTACGATGGACCACCATCCAGAAATGCAAACAGAAGCCATGTGCGCAACACTGATAGCAGGAGGGGTGGAAGGGGAAGGACAAGGGTGAATGTTGCGGGTGAGGTCGAGAATTACAACAACCGGAATCGTGAAGACGCCAATCAGTATAAGAATGAAAAAAATTCTACGGACAATAGGATATCTTCAGACAATAGTAAGCCTGAAGAAATACAATCAGCGGAGGAATTCCCTAGTCTTGAAGACACAGAAAAGACAATAAAGCAAAGAGAGAATCAAGGAGGGAAGAGAACAGATAATTATGAAAAACTGAAGAGTGATACAACAAAATTTTTGGTTGAAAAAAGCCCTAAAACGTATCCAACAGAAAGAGATGGCAATCAAAGAAAGGACTACCGAGATAACAGGGGTGGGAAAATCCAGCAAAGCCAAGATGCACGACGACAAGATGATGTTCGAGAAAATAATAGATATCAACAAGGATACAGAGATGAAAGAAAAGATGTAAACATTAAATCGGGTGGACGGGACAGTGATTTTTATAACAGAGGTCCTGAAGAAAATTGGAGATCGGCTCCCAATGAACACAGAGAGAGCTATAACAGAGGGGATGATTACAGGCGGGGCAGCAAGCAAAACTTTGGCTATGGAAGGCAACAACAACAACAGTACAGAGATAATAGAGGGCCAAGGGCGGGCAACTCTGGGGACGGGTACTTTAACTACAACAACCGTGGGAATAGGTATGAGCAGCCACCGCGCTACCAGCAGCAGGTTGATGTGGCGTCTCCTAAAGAGCCAAGGGAATACACCAACACATCATACAAATCTGCAGATGACAAGACAAAGCAACGGCAGAGTTACAATGGGGCCTCACCTAATGTAGCTAATGTGGTTACGGATGGTGGTGATGGCAGTACTTCACAAAATGTTGTGTTTTCTAACAAGGAAAATGTGCAGACAATAAATGTTACCATCACTAGCACAACAACTGAAAAGAAATCGTATGCTAAGGAGCGCAGGGCTAAAGGATCATCTTCTAAGCCTATAGAGAGTGCCACAATAATGGGGAATACAGAAATGCAAAAACCTGGTATGTGCTTTATTAAATTTCAACAACTGAAAAGAAATCGTATGCTAAGGAGCGCAGGGCTAAAGGATCATCTTCTAAGCCTATAGAGAGTGCCACAATAATGGGGAATACAGAAATGCAAAAACCTGGTATGTGCTTTATTAAATTTAAAATTTAAATTTTTTAAAAATTATCAGCTATAAATTTACAAGAAAACTTCTCAAATCTGATTTTTTTTTTTTTCCAGTTGTTCAAGGGTCTGGCATGCAGTATCAAGTTCCGAGTCAAAGTAATATTAAGGTGGATCCAAACTCCATACATCAGGCTGGTGCCAAACGATATTCTTCTCAGAGACAGCAGACTCTTGTCAAAGGAGTATACTCTGAACCACCCCCAATGGAAAATAGTGGTGCTAAACTTTACAACCCAGGCATGCTCTGATTTTATTCTACATTTCATTTCTTTTGCTTCCCAAAGCTTGAAAAACTATCTCAAATTTTGACAAGTGTTTAGGTGTTATACTTAGGAAATTAAGTATTTGCATTTAATATAATTTTTTCCTATTTGAATCATAAAATGACTGATAAATAATTATCATTAAAAATGTATATTTTTTTGCTTTTTGTAATTTCTTTTTCCCCTTAATTCATACGTTTCCAGCTTTGCCTCCACCCTCATATTTTCGGGATCATGGGTCTGTTAATCCTGGCCAGCATCCCACACCTTCTTCTCCAGGTGTTCAAGATCCTACTCATTATCCTCCCCCACTTCTTCCTCCAGCTGCTGCATTGCCCTATGGTTTGCCAGGTAAAAAATTTTCATAGGTTTATAAATATCTATATTTATATATGTATATAAGCTTTTACAGTATTATCTCCATTTACAGTATATCTCCATTTACTGATATAAGAAGAAAAATAACTATAGTAAAAAAAATTCAACTCATCATTAAACACAATTTGATTCAAGTTAACAAGGAATGCTGTGCCTTAATCCTATATAAATAACCATAATAAAGACCATAATCATATTTAATTAGTTTTTAATTCACAAATTTGAAATAAATGATTGCTCCAAACATCATATATTTTATGTTCATATTTTTTAATGATATTTTAAAGCAGTCACTTAGCAAGTGGCTTCTAATACTATTAATAAGTATTAACAAGTGTTTAAGTTACTGTTTCTCAACAAAAGATTTAATATTTTCTTTATTTCTAACATGGCAGCAATGTTTAGCCCCTTTAACTCTTGATCCTTGTTTTTTCCATTTCAAGTTTCCACCACAGTTCTGCCACTTCCACCAAGTGCCCCCGGGATTGCTAATCCAGCTTTGTTCCAACCAACAACTGGCCCTCCCCCTGTTGGAACAGGTATCTTGGGTTCACCTTACCTTCCTGCAGGAATGATGTATGGAGCAGCACCTAGGGTACCCCCACCAGGAACCCCAGCTGGATTTCCTATGTCCATAGCATACACGTCCCCTCCTCCACCTGCAGCTGCTGTAGCAGCCGCTGTTGTTGGTAACCAGCCACCACCGCAAGGCACTGTGCAACAACCAGGCATTCAATCAGCTCAGGTATACCAAGTGGGACAAATTAATAGTTACAGTGCAGAGAATCTCATTACAAATACTAAATCAATTGGTTTCTTACTATTACTTACTTAAAAAATTAACTTTAAGTTTTTGTCTTAATGTTACTGATACTTAACTTTAAATATTACTGATAATTAGCGCAAAATCTAAATGCTAGCTATTTCGCTGAAATTTAACACTAGTTTCATTGTGTAGTGAAAATTTCAAATATTTCTCTAATCCCCACTATTTGCAGCATAAAAAAGTTTATAGAGGGGATATAACCTACTATGCTCCAGAGCTTCAACAGCCATCACGCACTCCCCAGAAAAGACCCAAAGCAGCAATTCCAATTATAGATCCACAGGTTTGTCAATTTTAAAATGTGATAAACTCTTTTACAGCCCCAAGTGATCTAATAATTTCTAGTCATTCTGTTGAACTAATTTTTAAATAGAAAATATTTATGAAAAATTTTTTTGATATAAATTATAAAAAATTTAACAAATGAATGCATACAGTACTACGGCTCACTCAGGAATAAATAAACATTTTTATAAACTTTTTACCCATCCATCCCTATGATGCTACAACCCATGTAGGGCTTTGGCCTACCTCCCTACTTCCTTCCAATCAGACCTAACTCGTATCTGGAAATTTTTTTGAAAAAAATTTCGTAGACGGAAAATTGATAGACGGAAATTTGATAGAACGGAAATATGTTCGGATCTTTTTTTCAGTTTACATGTTAAAATTTTCGTCAAATTTCTTTTTGAAGGCACTATACTTTATAGTAAAATAGTGCGCTCAAAAAGATATTTGAAACAAAATTTTAACATGTGAACTGAAAAAAAGATTCAACCAAATTTCCGTTCTATCAAATTTCCATCTATCAATTTTCCATCTACGAAATTTCTTGCAAACAACCAACCTAACTAGACTAATGCTTTTCTTTTCTATGCTTGGATTCCAGCTGCTGTAGATGTTTTTCCATGTCATCCATCTAAGCCTAGGTCTACCTTTTAGCCGTTTTACTCTGTGGTTTTGGTGGTGCACGCTTTTCACTCCTCTGTCATTTGGCATTCTTTCTAAGCCTGCCCTATTTTATTTTTGCTACTAGTTTGGGATCCTGATATAAACCTATATAATTCCTGGTTGGTTCGTATTCTCCATTCATATTCATCCGTTGTAGGTCTGTATATTTTCCTGAGAACTTTTTCTCTCCCATGTGTTTAGTTGTTTTTCTGCTGTTTTTTTTTTAAATTTCACAAGCAAAATTTAATTGTACATGATGTATTACTGAAAGTGCAATGCTGGTTATAGGATCTATTATATTCTAAATAATGAACAAATATACAACAAAATCAAAAGCAGTTATTTTCTCAACACAAAAATATTTTTAGAAAAGACATTTAAATTTGCCTTTAAAAAAATATAATATATTTTGTTTTCTTATTTTAAGGTGGTAATGCAAAAGTAAGCAAGACCGTCAAGTTACAGAATTTATGCATATAATTATTGAATTTTAATTTGTAGATATAAAAAAATTATTAGTAGATATTTACCAAAATCAATTTGAAATACTGTGCTTGCTTATTATTATTTTAAAAACTTTTTATTTTTTTCAACAGGAAATGCGGCGACAAAAACAAAAGTCTGAACAACGAGTGACCCCAGAGAAATCACCTTCCGTTTCAACAAATAAACCAGTTTTACCTCCAACTCCTACTTCAAATAGCAATAGTAAGGGAATTTCTCCAGCTCAAACACTTACAACTGACACAGCCATTCAGCCTACAAAAGGAGCGCCCAATGCATATAATAATAGCTATAAGTTTGTTGCAGAGTCTGCTTTGCCAGAATCATCATCAATAGCCACTAAAACAACAATTGTTCAATGCAATCCAGAAGTCAATTTAGATATTAAAGCCAATGAAGGTGAAAAATTGACTGACCCTGTAACCATTGACGCTGTAAATGTTGAAAGTTCTGACAAATCGGCCTTGAATCTTACAACTACATCGTATGTTAATTCAAATAATGTCACAGCCTGTGACACGGATGCAGAGCTGAAGCCTTCCTTGTCAGATACAGTTCTTTCTTTCAAAGGGGCATTGGAGACAGTAGAGACAGTGTCACTAACAAAAGATGCAGTCAGTCTTGATATAAAGAATGAAATGGTATCTGCTGAAAGCTCTTCTCCACTAGTCAACTCTGTGCAATGTACCACAGTCACTGAATTATAACATTAGTGGCCACCTGTTAGCTAGCTCATGTGGTTTAGTGTTTTTTTTTTAGCAATTTGATCACATTACTTACTAGTTACTTTAACAGATACATTTGAGGTTGTTATAATTCAATGAATTCTGCTGAATCAGAGTGTTAAATATTCGCAAATATAAATTGTTTGCAAGCTATTTTGTTAAGACTTTTTTTTTCAATTAAGTTTTTAATAACTGGGAAATGTGTGTAGTGTATATAGTTGATCTGCTTCTAAATATCATTTTTCCTTTCCCTGGTTTTTATTAATATATTTACCTGACATTTTCTAATAAGCCTTCATTTGGTTTGATTGTTGTAAACCTGTGAATACTATTTATGTAGATTTACCAGTAACATAGGTCGTTCCTCTCTGCCACAAGCAAAACATTTGACTTCAGCATTCACTGTATTAGAAACAGTTCAGCAAAACATTAATTTTGTGCACTAGTACATTTTAATTAATGAAATATATTATATTATTGAAATTTATTTGTATATAAATATTTGTCATGAGTTTTGTTATCATAGAAATCAAGATTGACAATGTAGATTTCGTTCTTTTAAATTGTCAATTTTAGTTCAATTTTTTTTTTTTTAAATTTCAAAACCACACAAAAATAATATTAAAAAAAAACCCAAAGTATAACTATTTTTGTTGCTAAATGTATTCTTAAAATCATAACACTGCTAAACAAATTGTATTTCCAGAGACTAATGTGACAACAGAAATTAGCATGTTGGAAATATCAAAATACATAGTACCTGATGGCAACTTGTTTCATATGCACCCTTCCCTGATCTAAACTTTTTATTACATGGAAAACAATGTTTCAATGGGATCTGAAACTAAGAGTGCAAGCTTGTCTAAAAAAAAAAAAAGAGGAAAGATTGTAACCATCATATTTCCATCTCTGAAGTGTAAAAGCAGATATTTTGAACCTCAACATTGTGAAATCTTTAGAAAAAATAATCTTTGAACTTAGGGTATAAGGTGGTCTTGTGCAGAAAACTGTATTAATAATTTAAACTTGAGAAAAGTCAAAGATGCACAATATGTCCTAAATTACGTTATCAGGGGATGTTATCAGCAAAACGCGTTAAGTGGTTAACCTAAATTGGAAAAAAAAATTCAGCTTTTTCAAAAATGTCAATTAATTTCAGCACCAGTTATGATTGTCCTTTTACAAAATGATATTTGCAATTACATTTTTTTAAAATATGTTTCAATTGACTAACTCAAGTCCTACAATTGATTGCACTTCCCATATTCTTTACTAGATTGTGTCACTAAAAAGGTTACCAAATATTTTAACAAAATATTAAGCTTCTTAAAACAAGGGCATTATTTTGTCTTTTTTTTTTATAACTTTGTCCTCTTGAGCACCTGGAGTTTGGCAAAAAGCCCACATGTGGCTAAGCCATTCATTTTGGCATTGATATACATTAAAACGCAATTTTCTGAATTTGTAATGACACACCAGGTTATTAGTGATGTAGGTGTTAAAGTTAATTTTTATTAATTAAAAAAATAAAACAATTACCTAGTTTGGCTTGTTAAATAGTTTTTAACTTTTATTACCTGCTATGGAATTAGTGTGAAAATTCATGTAGGGCCCTAAAACTTTTAGTAAAGGAGTAATTAGTATAAATTTTATTGATCCTGTAAAAAAAAAAAAGTGCTTTCATGTTCAATTATTGCTTTCAGTATAAATTAAATGGTTTTGTAAACCTTAACCAGGGCTTTCTTTTCATTTCTCTTTTAATTCATTTAGTTTTATCCGTTTTGTGATTAAATATTAATTTGTCTTTGTATTTTTATGGAAGAATGTTAGTTACGTAAATATGTAAGTAAAAAGGCGAAGTAATGCTAATCTGTAGCGTGACATGGCTAACCATAAGTTGTCCACTTCCGTATTATGAAATGACGTCATGCATTTATACACTGTGATTTGCCTCGCAAGGATTAATGCGCAAATTACTTTGTAGCTTTGTTAAGTATAGATTTTAATCATTCAAGCTGTTGAAAATTCTAAAATTTAATTTATAACATAAATTAAGAATATTAAAATTAAGGAACGAAAAAAGAACTCTTCACGTCTCGTGAACTATATTCTTTTGCGGCATCTCATCCGATTGAATGCATAAATTAGTCCAACATCAGAGAGGGTGTATCTACGTTATTGACTTTCAGTTTTTATAACAACCATCCACTAATACTTTTAATACTTTTATTTAAGCATAGTTTCTGTCACAAAGTTGTGTTGGTAAGTGTTTACTGTGATAAGTATTTGTTTAGCGGACCCGGAAAAAGGAGAAATTAAACGTTTTTTCGACTGATACATCAAAACATGGCCGACTTGTCTAGAATCTCTTCCGTGTTTACAAATCTCCTGGATTTTGACAGAGCCTCAATAAAACGCTTTATCATACATAAGAAGCACAAAGCTTGGATTGTGTAATACAGCATTACTATATAACCACACTGGGTTTTTTTCTTTTATTGGGGATATAACCCAATGAAGTAGTGGAATACCTAAGGCCTAAGACTATGGTATTGGCAGGGATTTATTTGGTATTTATCAGTGTAGGTCTCTGCCAAACACTCAGTCTGGAACATCCTCTGAACTATAGGACTGAAGAATACATTATAAATTTAATAGTAAATTAAATCTAGGTCTAATGTTTTTCAAACTTTGACAGAAATTTAGCACTTAGTGATTCCTAACTTCTGTTGTGTTTTGTATTGTGGTAGCACTGATGAAGTAAACCTCTTAAAAATCTTTCTTCTTTATTTTGAGGGCCCACGATCAATGAATTTATCATTCTGGCTCCTATTAGACATTAGATTATCATGATTGTAAACTTAATCACTCATTTGCATTATTGGACTTGTATTGTACTTTTCATATTTGACCCAAATAAGATCAATCATCAGTAAAGGTGTACTTAGTGGTACTGCTTTTTGACTTTGGGGAATCCCAGCAATCAATGTAAACCGTAATGTGAATAATTGGACATGAATGCTTTGTTCAATAACTTTCTTGTTCATCACTGCACATTATTCTAGTCATGACATTAATCTGATGATTTATATAAAATGTATTTATAAAAAAGTTTACATTTGTGTTTATGAAATTCACCTTACAAGGCTCAAAAGAAATGCATCCTATGTGATAGTCCAAAACGACCTCTGATAAAGAGTATGTTGATCAAATGGCTCTAAATATGCTATCTTTGTTGATTAAGAAATAAAATAGTTCACAATTCAAATCTGTTAAAAATGGTACTATGGTCGGAAGAAAACCTGGGTAACTTCCATGACTGTGCAAGACTACATCAGGAATATCGCTAAGTGCACACTAGCCCTTTATATATGAGTTGTTGAATGTTTCCGCTTTGCAGCTTTGTGAACCTTCATAGAATTGGGGTCCAAAGCTTATAATATACTTATATTACTCAATTCACCATTAGTGATAGAACAAATTATGTAATTTACAGGCTCAAGATTTTTAATTACCCCATAATCATTCCTATTTCTTGTTTCACTGTTTCCTGTATCTTACCTTAATTTATGTGAGTATTCAAGTTGAGTTCCAGTAAAGTTAAGCCTATTAACATTACTGATTGAGATAGTTTTGTTAGATATCTGTTTAATATAGGTCTGCTGGATGAGACAAAATAGGCATAATTTTGTCAGTCAATATATTTTAATTTCTCATACTTCATAAGCTTATGTTAAAGAAAGGTTTTGGGGATGATTCAGTTTCTCTGTTAGGCTCAATACTCCTTTCTCTAAATCCCCCCTTTTCACCACCTTCCTGGAGAGGATTATGCATTTGAACATCCAAATGGTGTTACATACACATGTCTATAGATAATTAAATCAATAAATAACTCATTTCATATTTGTAGTGTGTATGTTTATATGGAAACCTTGAATACGCTTTAGGTGTAAAGTTTTTATTTATTGTATTGTTCGTCTTAATAGACTGGAAAGCTGCATGCAGAGCAACTGAAAGTCGATGACCGCTTTGTGCTGCTTAATAAAATTCTTATTTACTTTCAGTTCAGTAAAAAAAAAAAAGGTCATCTGTCTCTACTACTATTTGCACCAGGTTTTTAAGAACATTCAAGTTGTTGGAAACCACCGGAATAGACTTTCTTATAATTCCTTAGTGAAATCCACATTATGGCAGCGAGGAGTGGCCAACAGCGTCCAAATGGAGCATCTCAAGGAAAAATATGTCAGTTTAAGCTAGTATTGTTAGGAGAATCCGCTGTCGGAAAGTCAAGTTTGGTGCTTCGATTTGTTAAAGGCCAATTTCACGAGTACCAGGAAAGCACAATTGGAGGTAATAAAAAAAAAAAAATCTTTAAACATTACTAATTGAAGACATTTGTAGAAATATTACAGAAAATAATGTCAAATTTTGTGATGGTTCAATGTGACATCTCTTCATTTCACCACCCACTGATGTTTGTCTGTTAATAGAGTTGTGTTTCGGGTTACATGAGCTAACATTTGCAAATGATGCTTTCTTATACTAGATTATCATTGTTATAGGGAGCTTGTTTACATAATATTTCTCGTGCGTGCCCTCTGATTGACCCCGCATGAGACGTTGTGTTCACAAAGGGGTGTGGCTTAGGTCTTTGATGTATTCTTGTTTACGCCGCCAACGAATAAAAATAATTAATCTGTTCCAAATAGTATTTGGTAGAATGATTGGGATTTTTCTCGAAATGTCATGTAGCTTGTAGAAGGCAGGGCTTAGGCGTCGGTAGACCCACCTATATAAGGGATTGACAGGCACGACGAGAGAGGGAGAGATTTCCGATAGATTTTCTTAACATTACGAGGCGTGTTTTATTCTTTTGTGTATTTGTGTGCTCCTACTTATATGTGTTTATTTCACATTATTTATTGGCATCATTATTTCTAATTGTATTAACTGTGTACCGGTACGAGATCTACCATACTGTAAGTTGAAGATTGTAATTTTCTTTTCTTTTGTAATTATCTTTAGACATAATAAATCTTAATTAATTGTAACTAGAAACTGTTTTGGGTCGTATCTTTAATATTGTTGATTATATGGTATCGTCCTTTGTTAGGCACTGTTTACAACGAGCCAATTAAAATTAAAATAGGAGATTAATTTCTCCCAATCAAGTCAGTGCGTAACAATCATGATTGTAAAATTATACTTATACAATGTGAAATGGCAGCATCGAATTGTCCATTGAATCTTGACCTCTGGTCTGTGACACTCCACCCCCCTCTTCAAAACCACTTGTGAATGAGTGATAATACAAAAGCCTATTCTTAACTGCCTTTTTTAGCTTAATATTTTTAGTAGCTCATCATCACATTACAGATAAGAGAACACTCCATCTAAACATAGCAGTAACTGTGTCTATTCAACACTTAAAATATATGAAATTGAAAGCACTTGGCGATACTCTTAGTGGCCTTTTCTGGTACTGGCCACAGTTTCATTATTTCAGAGATTTCATCTTTTCAGATCAAATTGACTAACTGAAAGACAGAAAATAAGAATTTTGCACAGTAATGTGTCACTTGTTTCATAATTCTACATTGTTTATTACTTATCAATGATTAACCAGTTTTGCTAGTCAGGTGTTTTTCTATTGTGAAGCTTCATCAGATCTAAGCAGCCCTGTAAGGTGGCATGTGTCGGATAACTTCCACCTTTTGTTGGATGTTGACAAATAACCGTTTTCTATTTTATGAAACATTCCACTATGAATGTTTTAAGCCAATAATAGGCTTTCATTTTCATTATTGATTAGGACATCACCTACAATGCTCCTGTGGCTTCTAATGGCAATTATGAACAGGTTGCACATACAACATCCCATGATGTTATACAACCTCCCATGATGTTAAGTTCTTTTCTTTGTCTGTTGTGCTAGCAGTATTGATTTTATGGGGGTATTTTTACGGCCTATGACATTTTAAGTATGTATGAATACTTTTTACTTTACTTTGAAGAGTATCTTGTAAGTCTCCCTCAAGGCTTACACCTAAATAATCAGAATCTACTCCAGAGAAGAGCTGAGAAAGAGAGTCTTCTTGTAAACTAGGCAAGCAAGTTACATATTTACCTACTTGACTTTGAAATTATTTGCCGGCTTATTATATTAATTTCTAAGTAGGAATGGAGAAAATGTAAAGACAATGTCAGTCCTCAATTTGTAGAATGCTTTGCAACTAACTAATGCCATCCTTTTGACAGCAGTGAATTGCTTTGTCCCTTTCACATGACAGTTTGGATTAGTTTGACTTTGAAATGGTTTATTATACAAAAAACAAACATTGGTTGTTGTCAACCTGATCATGCGATCCATGTTTCTTGTTTCTCAAAGAATTAATTAGTGTACATAATACTTTTGGGTTTTAAAATTAATATTTTGCCCCATGACCAATGTCTCAATCAAGTTGGCTATCTGTGTTGCAGCTGCACCGTTCAAACCAACTAAATTACTTAATATTTAAAATATGACTCCCTTGGATTTGGTGACGTTAGATTAAAAAAAAAATACATTTGTGCTAAAAACCGAAGTTGTCTAATGTTAAAATTTTCAAGATATGTTAATGTTTGTTTTGGAAAAAAGGTTTGTAAAGACTAAAATAAACTATTTGTAGGTGTGAACGCCTACTGAATGTTGGATATTTGACCTGGTGATGGAGACAT